AATAAGAAGAAAAACTATATACAAACAATATAAAATTGATAAAATTAAGTTTTACATAACTCACAATTTTCACAATTATTTTTCGATATAACATTTGATAGGTCAAGGACTCTGACTTGATTTTTAAATGCAGTTAGAGAGTCAGCCATTTTGATTGATTTGTGGAGCTTCGACCAAATATAAGGTCCCATGTACCTTAAGCTATGTCTTCCGTATGTAACCGTGTTGTATCTTGGTAAGGAGAAATCGTCTGCATTCCTAAGATTGTACCTACTTATGCCGCAACTAAAAAGTTCAGAAATATATGGTGGGACTAAATTAGTCTTAACTTTATACATAAATATAGCCATGTCCTGGAGTCTGCGATTACATAACGTTGGAAGTCTTACTTTATCTAGAAGTGCTTCGTAAGTGCTAGCCCTGTCACAGTAAATAGCCCTCATTGCACGCTCCTGCAGCCTTTCAAGCTTTCTCTCGTCTGACGAGCGACAATGGTGCCATACTATATGACAATATGTAACTCGGGGTAAAATAAAAGCTTTAAAAATTCTTAATTTAGCTTCAGTAGGCATTAAATTCCCAAACCTCATAAGTACTCCTACTTTCCTTGCCCCCTTAGTACAGACATTATTGATAAGCTTACTTGAGTAAAGTTCAAATCATCATCAATTGCCACTCCCAAAAGATCAATCCCGGAACTTGATTTTATGTTAATGTCCTTTATATTTAGGTTCATTCTCTTTTTCTTGTGTCTTGGTCCTAGATTCATAGCTTGAAATTTATCTTGGTTACACTTGAGTAGGTTTTGTTGATACCACTCAGAGGTATGGGTTTCCTCATCGTTCAGGATTGTTTCTACATCCTCAATCTTCTCTCCAGCAGAGTACATCAGATGGTCATCAGCGTACATAGCAAGCCTGCCCGCATGAATATTCTGGACAAGATCGTTCTGGAATATGTTCCAAAGCATTGGTCCTAGGTTTGATCCTTGTGGAGAGCCTCTGCTTGTCTCTCTCCATTCACTAAAATCTCCTGATCTCATCCCCACCCTGTTTTTTCTTTCTGTAAAGTAGAATCTCATCATGTCTATCGCACTTTTCGAGAAACCATAGGCCCACAATTTTGGGAAAGAGTACCATATAACCCATACATTAATTATGCACGCATCCCATTGTTTTTAAGACAATGACTTATTCCCATGGGTTTAGCATATATACATTACTAATAAGTACTTACTGCTTCAATAAAAGAGAAATTGATTGAAAGCCGCTTTTTCGTCTCCATTCTTTTCTCACGTTCTTCTCCCTTCTCCTCTTTCTTCCCAATTCCCTTCTCCTCGTTTTTTTTTTTTTTTGTCCTTTCTGGGCAGTTCTGCTGAGCCTTGAACAATTGCTCCTCAGACAACGCGTTATTATCAGACCATTATCAAACCATAGCCTTACCACTATGCTACGCAAACCAGTTATGAATTCCTTTCCAAAAGCTACTTTTTCTTTTACCTTTCAGTAAAAAATTATTTTCACAACAATATGTGCATTGAAATAATGCACCAAAGGTCCCCTTTGCACTAAATTATGCATTTCTTCTTCTCTACGATTGGCCAAATACCACATAGAAAACAAAATTTATTCATACCTCTTTCCAATAACATCAACGAAAGAAGAAGATAGAAAAAAGAAGAACAACAACTCGGAGATGGAGAGACTGAATTTTATTCGATTTTCTCGAATATTATCGGATCACGACCGGTGCATACAGGTAAGGATCACAACCTGCTTGCGACGTCGGTAAAATGTCCTCGAGTGCAGCAATGAACTTAGCTGGACGCGACGTGCTTTATCACGAGACGGGTACGAGTGGCGATGTTTAAAAA